GGACCCATGGTCTAAACCCCACCGGAAGTCGGCCATTTTGAATTACATTTTACTCTGTTGTGAAATCACGGACCTCTTTTCAAAAAATTTTATAAAATCAGCCTTTTATCCAAATGAGCTAAAACTTTCAAAATACGTTCTTTACAAAGCCTGCTGTAAGTTGGTTACAATAGCAAAGCGCTTCTTTAAAGTCCATCACTCTGATTTTTCAAAAGTTTGTGTTCTTGCCTAGTAGTTGGCCAAGTGGACAGATAATGCCAGGAAATAATTCAGCCCCTAGCCATGCTCGTTCCTAGGATAATGAAACTTGGCACACATCTGTATGAGCTCTCCACCTACAAAAAGTTTCATGGGAGCCATGGTCTAAACCTCTCATGAAGTCGGCCATTTTGAATCAAACGGCACCCTTATGAAAATAGAATCACTATGTTAAAATATTTCTAAAAAATCAGTCGTTTTCCCAAAAGAGCTAGGACTTTTGGAATATATTCCTCTAATCGCTACTTGTTTGATGGTAAACACAGCATAGCTCTTCTTTAAAGTCCGTCACTCTGATTTTTCAAAAGTTTGTGTTAACAGGAAATTGTTGTATCTCAAAAAGTTTTATAGCAATCCTAGCCAAATTTGGAACAGTTATTTATCCTTTGATTATAGAAAAGACTGCCAAGTTTGGCGTGAATCTATGCATGTTTGAGCATCTTATGGGGTTTTCAACTGCCGCAGTATATGGCATTCAAGTTTAAAGATTTTTCTTTCTTTAAATTATTTAATAAATCATCTAAAAAAAATCTAGGACATGCAAGATGTGTTCCTTGACATTTGTGATTTTTTTCGGGATTTTATTGCAAACTATGGATTTTTAATGATTTTTTTTGTTTTGAGTAGAGTCGGCCATTTTGAATTACATTTCACCCTGTTGTGAAATCACTGACCTCTTTTCAAAAAATTTTATAAAATCAGCCTTTTATCCAAATGAGCTAATACTTTCAAAATACGTTCTTTACAAAGCCTGCTGTAAGCTGGTTACAATAGCAAAGCGCTTCTTTAAAGTCTGTCACTCTGATTTTTCAAAAGTTTGTGTTAACAGGAAATTGTTGTATCGCAAAAAGTTTTATAGCAATCCTAGCCAAATTTGGAACAGTTATTTATCCTTTGATTATAGAAAAGACTGCCAAGTTTGGCGTGAATCTATGCATGTTTGAGCATCTTATGAGGTTTTCAACTGCCGCAGTATAAGGCATTCACGTTTAAAGATTTTTCTTTCTTTAAATTATTTAATAAATCATCTAAAAAAAATCTAGGACATGCGAGATGTGTTCCTTGACATTTGCGATTTTTTTCGGGATTTTATTGCAAACTATGGATTTTTAATGATTTTTTTTGTTTTGAGTAGAGTCGGCCATTTTGAATTACCCGGCGGTCGCTTGGTTCCCGCGGTCGCAACATACCAGGCGGTGCGAGCTGCGAGGGCCGCTCAATGCCACTTGTGGCTTTAATTGTCATTACATTCTCACAGGTACAGAGCAACGAAATGAACTCTCTGATTTAACCCATACTCTTGGGCAGCAGTGGGCTGCAACTGCGTGGCACCCGGGGAGCATTGTGGGGTTCAGGGTCTTTGTTCAGGGACCCAGAGTGACAGTCTGTGGGAGTGGAGCTCGAACTCAGACCCTCAGGAGTCCGAGTGTACTGCTCTAACCCCTAGGCCCCTACTAGGAGCTGGAGCTAGATGTAGGGCTAGGGATACCCAATCATTGGCCACCCCTGTGGCCCACTCCTACCATACAGATGGTGGCAGTAGTAATACTCTCAAGCGGAATACTCAAAACATTTAATTTTTTTGTGGTTAATTATAAACATCAATATACTAACATCAAAGATAATAAATACAGAATTCATGCTCTTTTCAGAACTAGATTTTGTGTGATATGGGGTAAAGAGTAGATGATGTGTCTCTGCAAGTCATCTGGGAGTCTTCGTTGAAATCATACATAAATAACAATTTTGATATAAACTTATGAAATAATCAATTTATGTTGATATTAGTGCTTGTAAATATCAATTTTATGCAGAATGTTTGTTGATACAAGTAGGTAAGTAATGACGATGGAAAAGATTTACGCCCCAGAGCTCAAAACTGAAAGAATTCTTTCCACTATACCTTTTATTTAGAAAGCATGGATGTTTAAATATATGCATCTACTTGTTAGCAAAGGCTGTAGGAAAGTATAGTTTGTCTTTATTTAGAAAATATGGATGTTTTGCTTGTTAATTTTCCTGTTGGAGCAGTGTAGACTGACCCTGAGGTTCTGGCGCCTATCCACTTTCGGCCACCCCTCAATGTACATTGGTTATTGCCTGAAAACCCTTATAAAAAACTATGCCTCTGGCCCCCACTCCCCAAATTTTAAACTTTAAGCTCTTAAACTTTATTATTTAGTCTAAAATATTAAAACTTAAATTTACCAGCTTGGTAGACCTGTATTTTGAATTTAAAGAACATCCCAAGACTCCTAGAATCTTCTGGGAATCACTGCCATAAGAGTCCAGTGATTCCATGGCACTACTGCATAATTTCATCAGGTGATTTTTATAATAAAATAAAAATACAAACACTGTCTTGTTGTCATTTAAATAAAGTTCCAGTCTATATATTTTCTCACATATCTCAAAGACTTGAGGAGAATATTTACTGAATGACAAATCAACCTGAATCTCATCTGGATAAAAATTGAGTGACACATGCATTTCTGTATATTTATAGAAAATAGATTCCATAGGTAGCAGCTACAAAGAGAATTAAACAGGAATTAAAAATCCTCTTTGTTGAACATCATAGGTGGAGAAACAGAGTCATGACCTGTCTTATCTAGTAAACCTTTGTTGGATAAATAACATTTTAACCTTTTTAAGGCTGTGCCTCTTAGACCAACAAACTGATCCAGCATTTATTCTGATAATTAAAAGGCCTTGATCTGTTTTCAAAGGAAAAGTAAAGTAACGAATAATTACAAAAACTGACTCAGATAGCTGCAACAGGTACATCTGAAGAAAAGAGCCCGTTGTCAGGTTCACAGTTGCTATTGTAACAGTTTCTATGGGAATGGATCCACAGGTTAATGACCTGTGACGAGTGGAGGTATTTGACTGATTGATGGGGAGGTAGAGCTGTAAAGGGAAGCTCCGACGGTGGGGACGGTTACAGAAGAACTCCACGGCTTCATTTTCAGCTCCTTCAGCAGCTCAGGCCTCAGATGTGCCTGATCTTCATCTTTTCAGATCCATTTAAAGCTTCCAGTTTCCCTGCTGCGTATCGAGGCATCTGTCCCAGTTTCCCTGCGACTATATTGGGTCCCGACAGGCAGCAGGAATCAGATGAGTTAAAGATCAATAAATGGCAACGTGTTGAGCTTAGTGTGTTTACAGTCTGCAGAGGAAATCTGCTGAATATTTATTTCATCCTGTTAGGATTTAACTTCAGAGAAATGAGCCACAGGACTCTATCTGAGGGTCCGTTAACTGTTATTCCGCATGAATGTTTCCGCTGAGAGTTTTATTAACTGAATGTGTCTCCAGCTGAGGGGGAACTGATGCATGCTTAATTGACAAGGACAAAGCGCCTCCTATGGGACTTTGGGAGTAGTGCATTAAATAGAAGTACCATGAAATATGAAAAAAACAATAAAAAATTATTCACATTGTTACTTAACATCTGTTTATGAAGACTCCATGTCTTCAGAAATGGTAGATGTCAGTATTTTGCAACTTCATATTAATCACTTTTGTTTTTGGCTTTTTGTCAGGTTCTAAACTCGAACTTCAGTGTTGAATACAACAGTTTGTGCAACACAGTTGGCCAAAATGGTGAATTTCAAGGAGAATAATCTATGTTTTTTAACATAATAACAAACCTTCAAATATTCTGTACTGCATTTGTATTCAGACCCATTTATTTGATAGAGAAAGGCTGAGTACAGCCTCAAATAAAATCAGGTGAAACCAAGTGCTTTCTGAAGCCATCACATCAGCAAATGCAGTCAAACTTTATATATTCCAAAGTAATTGTAAATCCAGCTGTTCTTTGAAGGCCGTAGAGGTTTGCTGAATAGCATGCAGCCTCATGAAGACCAAGAAACTGGTCAGACAGACCATGGAGAAAGTTGTGAAATGGTTAGAGCGAGATTGAAAAACAATATCCAAAACATTTAAGATCACTCAGAGCTCTGTTCTGTCAATCACCAAAACATGGAAAGTTAATGGAGTAAATGGAGACCTGCAAAGACATGGGGTTGAAGATTTTTAATAAAAAACAGCCAGACTGCAACTCCAGAGGAGGCCCAGATATACTTAGCTTAGGTCAGGCATTCCAAAACTCTGTTGTTTTATGGAAAAGCTGCAAGAACAAAGATGAATACTCAAAAAGTGCTGTTTATGGTTTGCCACAAACCATGTAGAAGGTTCAGTTCCCACTAAAGAAGGTGCTCTGGCCAGAGGGCACCAAATATAACTTTCTGTCTAATATTAAAAAAACACCTGGAATGATGAAAACCACTGCACATCACATCTGCCACACCAATCATAGGACAAACAGTAATGGTACAGTATACAAATTCTATCAGATTAAATGGGTTCATCTTCCAACAGGAGAACAAACAAATTTAGATCTGAGCATAATCATGTAGTAAAATGACCTGGTCTGCAGCAATGTGACGCTCACAGAAACTCCCCATCCAGTGTGACTGAGGTTAAGCTCTTTTTTTTAATAGATATAGAAATAGAATCTTAGTTGTTTTTTGTATAAAGCTTATAAAGATATCATTCAATAGGTGGATTTACAAACTGTTGAGTTAGGATGTCTGAACGTCAGTGAAATTGTGTTAAATAATCACAAAATATAGAAAAAGATGATCGAACATGAAGGTTGTATTTTGCAGTGGTGTGTAATCTGAAAATAAAGTTTCTCAGTGACTGAGTGCCTTTTTCTTTTTGTGTCTAAACAGAGTGACGGTTACAGCAGCCTGTAACATGGACTTCAGCCGCTTTCCTCTGGATTCTCAGACCTGCTCACTGGAGCTGGAGAGCTGTGAGTAAAAACTGGTGGAGTCTGACACTCGGAAGATAAAACATGACAAATAATAAGAACAGAGATAATGCAAGATTGTCAGAGAAACGTCATTCTTCATTTTAAGATCAACAGCACAGAGTTCAAAACAGCTTAAGGGCTTTTCTGTCAAATTTAGTTTGGAGGTAAATAACAAAAATGTCTCCTGAGACAATAATGTGAAAACAGTGGAACCTGCAAATACAAGTTTAATTTGCTACAGTGGGCAATTTTCCTTACGTGGAAACAGCTCTTTCTATTACAAACAGCGGTAATTACTATAATTTGTTCCAACGTGTCAACCACATGCGCTCAAATAAAATAACAATCAAAGTCAGTCACTTTTATTACAATAGATGAAATTTTTCTTTATAACACCTCTTGAAGCATTTTGTGAAATAACACTGAAACAAATAATAAAGCTTTGAAACACTCACCTGTTAGCAGCTGAAAGGCTGGACATGACTGAGAGGAGGAGGACATTTGTATGTGGTAAGAGAAACTATTTTCATTTTAACCACACAGCTACAGAAGGATAGGAATGCAACAGATTCTACATTATATGTTTTTTTCACTTTAACAAATGTTTTTCATTGGTATACATATGGATTTTTTCCAACTCTTGCGCAGCTTTCCTGCTTTGCTTTTTTAGTTTTCTATAAGTTTTGCTACAAATAAAATGTCAGATTCAACAAAAATTGACATTTTTTCCCTTTATTAGTAAGAGGATGTGAATGAACTTTCACCTGACTTCATTCTAAAACACATGGAGCTATATGCTCTAACCTTTTAAACTTAAACATAAGCAATACTCTAACAACACTGCTGACACATGCATTAAAAAATGCATTATTGTTTGAATTCGGTGAATTATACCAGTCTGTGTTAATATTTTTTCCTGCATGGCTGTTTTTTACATTTTGAGCACCTGTCTCCCAATGCAGCGCCAACAATTTTCAGCACTTCTTGCATCCATCTCATCACTTTCTAAAGAAAAGCCGCATTACTGTCTTGAGGCTTCCAATTAGGAATGAATCTGCTCTAAGACATTTCTGCCTACTTTTCAAAATGTCATGAAAATGTGCCATAACATTGTCATAATACAGAGTAATGCTATGTGACAACAGATTTGTTTGGTTGATGCTGCTCATTGAAGCTGTGTACCTTCCACCCACATTTCACACACCTCTTGATGGCTCCTGGGGTGAGCTCCTGCTATAGCCCCTTTTTATTGAAAGCCTAGGATTTAATTTATTTGATTTTCTTAGAAAAGCTGAAAATCAAACCCAGAAAATCAGTCAGCAAATAAAGGAAATCCATACGTTTGCTATCTTGTGAGGGGCAAATATTTGTAAAAGAAGATGGGCCAATAGAGTTGACCAACAGGGTATCGATAATCATTGGGAGCTTTGAGAACTGTTGTCTCTCCTCAGCAGAGTAGATAACAGTAAACCATATCGCATTTTAGCTTGTTTTCGTTGGAAACAAATTATCTTAGAAAAATGTTATCATTATATTAAGAATTGGCATTAGGGGTTTCTCTTTTCACTCAAGATTCTTTTCAAATACTTTTTTTTCTAGACTCACTTTAATTCTGCACAACCGAAGGGTTTGTGAGCATCAGCAGCCTTATAAGCTCATAACCACCCATTTCAGTTGGATATATTTCTATACTTTGACTAGACCAATTCAAGCGGATTATTCTTCTGCTGCATAAACCAGTTGAGATTAGATTTAGGATCACAAATCACTTGCCAGAGATTCCTCAGAGAAGAAAATTCATGGGCCCCTCAGGTCCTAAACCAGAAGAGGCCCTGGACCATCCTTCCACCATTTTGGCCATTCCTGGTGTTCTTTTTTTCTGAAAAGCTATGTCAGCTTTGCGTTGTTGCAACAGGACTACATTGCCCCAAACGTTCCACTTTCATTTTGTTATTTATGAATATTCTGAATTATTATGTTATTTTAAAGGTGAGATGGGTCTATTTGCTTTGACTTGTTTTGGTCAGCATTAGTTTTGATCTTTAACATTCATGGATGCCATTTTTCCCAGTCTCTTTCTCGTTGTTGAATTATGACCTTATATGAGAGAGGTGAGACCTGCAGGCCATCCAAGGAAGGTTTCCTTCTTTACCACATGTGCTGCATTTTATGACTAAGGATTAAAATAACACTGTGACCTTTTCCAGAATAGTGGACTTAACTGACTTTTTTCTCAATGAGCTTAGATTTGAACAGGAAAGGCTATTTTTGATAGCCTTTGCTAGACAAAGTGGTCTGCTGATTGTACAGGTCTGAACTCAACATTGTCAAGATTAATTCACATTTTCAAATTCGGGGCAATTATTTTAAAACTCTAGACCTGATTGGTGGGATTGCTTCTTTTTTTTTATATTGAAATTTATTCAAACAAAACAAAATAATTATTAAGGCAGCTATATTCTTACCTAAGGATATACTTCCACTAATGTTTGACTGTGAACATGAGGCAACGTCAAGTCATGGTCATTAGCCACATGTTTGAACAGTTTATTCATGATATGAGTTTACACACATCTGGTTAAATTTTACGGCTCTGCTATAAAATCTTCATAAAAAAAAACAGAAACTTAAGAAATAGGGATAAATAAACTAAAGCAAAAAATAAAAAATAAAAAGCAACGTAGTTTTTCTGATGTTTTCACATAGGAGGAAATTCAGGTGTCCCCACACGCTCAGTGCAGGACAGCCTTAGTTAAAGCTCCATTCCTTCCTCACTTTGGACTTTAATGCCTGAGAGTAACCAACGTCTGCACTCAAATGCAGGCAGAGGGCAGGAACATTTTTTTTCCCCAACAACAGCAATGTGGGGAAAAAAAAAGCAAGACAGCCAGAAAATCACAGAAACAGATCAGGGTTATTGAAAAGGGGTGAAAAGCCAAGCCTTATTAACAGTTCAATAAAACCCTTCGACAGTACAAGAAAATCATCAAAACTAAAGAAAAAGTAAATGATTAAAAAAAAACGTGACATGAGTGGGTTCCTCTCAAAGACATAAAATATTTTAAAACTGACCTTTAACGCATTAAAAAGCATGCTTCACCATTAATCTCTGTAAATCATTAGATGAAGAGTTTTAACTCCTTGAAAAAAAAAATCAGATAATCCAAAAAAAGCGCAATGTGGTTATCTGACAAGGAGAGAGAGAGAGAGAGAGAGAGAGAGAGAGAGAGAAAGAAAGTGTTGGGAGCTGGAGGAGTTCCACCTTTCTCCAGCAGAGTCCGCTGTGGATCCTTCTGAGTGAGCCTCCTGCACAGCTGCAGCCCATCAAGATCATCAGAGGATCCACTATATAAGCTGTCTTCAGACCTTGCCTCAACGCCGCAGTGTTGATCCAGTTGGTCAGCGCCTAAGCCTAGACTCTCAGTGTATCTTCATGACTTTGAATCCAGTCAGGATTCTAACCGTTGTCTCTATCTTCCAGGAAACCAGTGTCTCCTCTGTGAAGCTCTGGAAGTGCTATCCTGCCGAGCCGACCCTCAGAGCCAAACCCGAAGAACCATAGAGAACTTCCATGCAGCTCAGGACTAAGAGCTGGAATACCCAAAGCCAAGGTCTGTTCATTTGTAGACGTGAGACGCTGAAGCAGCAAGCGGACTCTGCTGATCAACTCCTCTCCAGATCCAACAGTGACTCTCCCAAAGCTAACCTCAAGAACCCTCAAGGTACAATCAGTTGTTATCAAGAAAGCAAGCTCCAACGTGCAACGCTAACTGAACTGTCTCTCACGCAGACTCCGGTGAACCAGTATCCAGGCCCGAGCCAGAACCAGTACATTCTGTGTGCTTGTGTCAAAATAAACTTGTTGAACTTTTATTCCTGTGTCAGTCAGTGGTGTTCTGCATAATTGGGTCACTTTTAGAGTACCCATCATGACAGAACACTGCGGCCAAACTCAAGGCCCAGCGGAACACTACATCCGTCGATTGGAGGAACAAGCGGCCCAGATCCATGGACACAGCCTGGCGCTACGTGAGTTAAACACCCACATTGAAAGGCAAAATCAAGCTATCCAGAGCTATGCTAACTACACGAATAGCGCTAATGCTGCACCGGTACCTCAACCATTTCCGGGTCCAGTTCCTCCTCCGAGGTCACCAGCAGTGACGTCATCCGAGTTCCGCCCAAGTCTCCCAGAGAGATTTTCTGGTAACATGAAAGATTGCAAAGGATTTTTATTTCAGTGCCGTTTGATTTTTCAGAACTCTCCAGGCAGCTTTTCCACGGATTACAAAAAGATAACCTTCATCCTTTCTCAGCTAACAGGAAGAGCCTTGGAGTGGGCTCAGGCAAGATTTGCCACCGACGATAGCCTTAACTGCTATTACTCTGATTTCATCTCCGAATTTACTCAAGTTTTCAACCAAGAAACTGATCAAACAATTGACTCTCGAGCTCTTTTCAATTTTAAAGCAGGGAAATTCTTCTGTGGCCGAATTTTCCATCAACTTCCGGGTCAAAGCGGCAGCTTCCGGATGGAACCAAAGCCCTCTGAAGGGAGCCTATTTCATGGCTTTAAATGAGCATATTAAGGATGAGCTCGCAACTCTTGACGAACCAGCTACCCTCGAAGACTTAATTCGCCTTACGATCAGATTGGATAATAGAATCCGTGCCAGAAACAGTTCTAAAAAGCAGGGGACACTTTCTTCTGCCTCACATAACGTGACTGTTTGTTCTCCCCCCACAGAGCAGTTGCCCATACAGAGACCTAAGGCTCAGCCTCTCCCTCTGCCTATTCAGGCCTCTCATTCGGCTGAAAGAGATGTCGAACCCATGCATGTGGGACACACCAGGCTCACCCCTGAGGAGAGACAAAGACGTTTTCTAAGCAAATTATGCATTTACTGTGGTGAGAGTGGACATTTCATCGCTTCCTGCCCGGCTAAATCAAAAGCCTGGGCCCGCCAGAGGATCTGAGGAGTCTGGCGGGCCAAATTAAC